AACAAATATTTTTCAAAGCAAATTACTGCTAATATCTTTATATTGAAAGTTCACTTATAATTTAGGTTTCCTAGAATACGGTTGTAAATGGAAACGAAGGTATACTGTGTCCAGTTGATAAACACTAGGATATTCCACCAGTGCCGCTTAGGAGAGAGCATCAATGGTTTCATTTTCCCTCTATCTGTTCATTCCCCACCCAGCCTGATTCACACATGATTGTCACCCAGTTGGCACCTGAGTGTGCAAATCCTAGTCTAGAGTTGACAAAAAAATAGAAGGGAGTATGCGTTTAAACTATAGTGTAAGAAAGACATCTTTGCTCAGAATTCTTTAAAATGCACTTCTTATCTTCTAAAGGAATTCAGGCTTACTTTATATTAATTATAATCACTACTTATTGAGCTCGAAATTCCTGTCAATTTTTCCAACAAATATATGCAATTAATGTTATTACTGATGTTTTACAAATGAAGGGATCTAGATATTTGATAATTAATAATCTGTCTGAGGATATTCAGTAACAATTACAGCTGGAATTCAACACCAGATCTCTCTGACTGCACAGCCTGCAAAGTCTTATGCAACTGCATTTTAGCTCCTGTGTTGAACTTATCCTCTTTCCCCTCTGCAGCCTCCTTGGATTGTTTGGATTCTGTAAAGGGGTTATCCTTATGCCATCTCTGCATGGGATCTTTCATTTCCATGTTCCAGCACTCATCACCATGAGTCACACTTGGTAGAAGGTCATTAAAAGATTTTAGAAGTAAATAATGACATTCTCTCCTGTCTATATTTCATTTAGTCAATACACATACACACACACACACATACACACACACACATATTACTGAGTACTGAGGATCCTTATAAACCTTTAAAATGTTGTGAAAGATTTAAAAGTTTAGCTAGAGAGAGGAAAAATAAGACAGGTGTTTTTGAAACGTGTATTCTGGGGGTTGTTTTGATGGCATTTTATATTTTCAAAGTTTTAAACAATGGAATAGCTTTGTTAAAAAATAAATATTAAACTAATTTTATTATTTTCTAATTTTAAAAGTTATATTTCAAAATAATAATAATTACAAAATACAAAGCAGTAAAGGAAGTTTTCATGTAATAATCCCTAAAGGAAAAACAAAACTGTTAGAATTTTATATTTATAACTGTCAGTATCATTGTCATACACATATGTCTGCTTATGTATGCATATTAAACATAAAATAAATTTCAGTTCATTCTTACAGACATTAATCTAAATTTATAAGACTGGATGTATGCCCAAATTATCAATCTTTGTGTATGTGTATATGAATGCATATATAAATATATGTATTTATGTTTAATATACATACACACATATATGCATACATACATATGCATATATATGTGTATATATATAATTTTAAAAATACTGCCTAAAGCTGTCTTGAAATTAGAACATTTTTTAAGCATTGTATCTTGTCAATCAGTAAATATCATCATAAGCATTTGTAATGAATGCACAGTGTTATAAAATTTTGGATATATTGATTACTGTTTAGCATAATAAATAGTTCAGTATATGCTACATATGTTTTAATTACTGTGATATTTCCACTTATTTATACTCTCTCTGTGTGTATATTTAAAAATGTTAGACTGTTAAATATTAGCGGCTTGGCCGGGCACAGTGACTCACGCCTGAAATCCCAGCACTTTGGGTGACCGAGGCGGGCGGATTACCTGAAGTCAGGAGTTCCAGACCAGCCTGGCCAACATGGTGAAACCCTGTCTCTACTAAAAGTACAAAAATTAGCCGAGCATGGTGGCACCTGCCTGTAGTCCCAGCTACTCGAGAGGGTGAGGCAGGAGAATCTCTTGAACCCCAGAGGCAGAGATTGCCAGCCTGGGGGACAAGAGTGAGAATTCCTCTCAAAAAAAAAAAAAAAAAAAAAAAAAAAAAAAAAAATTAGCGGCTCATGCCTATAATCCCAGCATTCTGGGAGGCCAAGGCGGGCGGATCATGAGGTCAGGAGATCGAGACCATCCTGGCCAACATGGTGAAACTCCGTCTCTACTAAAAATACAAAAAAAAAAAAAAAAAAAATAGCCAGGCGTGGTGGCGGGTGCCTATAGTATCAGCTACTCTGGAGGCTGAGGCAGGAGAATTGCTTGAACCCAGGAGACGGAGGCTGCAGTGAGCCAAGACTGCACCATTGCACTACAGCCTGGGCAACAGAGCGAGACTCTGACTCAAAAAATAAAATAAAATAAAATAAAATAAAATAAAATAAAAGATATGAAATGTTCTAATTCTCCCTATTTTTACTTATTGTTTTATTTTAAAATGTGAGTATAAGTACTAGCAAATGGAACATTTTATATTGTTATACTCCACTTGCTACGGGAAAGATGGAAATCATCTTTAAAATGGATTTGGGTGTGTGTACAGATTTTAAATCTTAACAAGGAATTATTTTGTATCTACAACACCAGGAAAAATTCCTGAATACAATGGATGTACATTTCTTGCTGCCACAGTGAGGGTAACAGGTGGACGGAGTTTTCTGTGCTGGACATCACATCCCCCATTTTGATTCACCGTCTTCCATTCCTGTGCAGTCAGTAGTTTGGTTATTTAAGTTTATATTTCCATTGAAACATGAATAAACATGAATAGATTATTTTACCCTAATACACAATTAAAAAGCTACAAATTACAGTAGAGATCAGCTTGCACAAGTTATTTTCTTGCCAAATAAATCTATTAATACTACACATAGCAGTATTTAAGCATTGACTCATTCTTTTTGAATATTTTTACATAATCCTAGAATGACATAAATTGTTCAAGTATAAAGTATTATGAAGTTATAGAGAAGCAGTATTTGAAAGGTTATGATGATATCATTTGACTAAGAGGAGCACAATTATCAGTATTTCTACTTTAAAGAATACTACTTCTTCAATAATTGACTTAAGACCTTGTTCTACTTTATTATTTTATTATTGTATTTGCCACATTACGAAAACAATCTACACATAATTTTTAAAGGCCATTTTAATATTTTCCAAACACAGTTTTTATGTATTAATTACTATTATTATTTACATTTTATTCTAGTTGTTGGTATATCTCACTGTCTTATCATTCTCTCTAGTCATTTATATATGACTTCTTTATTGTATTCTAATTTTTGATACATATATTCTAATGTAAAATATATCATAATATATTCTATATTCTGAATTACTCCCAATTTCTTGCCTTATTTTTGAGCAGTGGTAGGAAATACACCATACATTTATTATTTTAATAGTAGTAATGTTATATAAGAAACCATTCAAAGGTTAGAGATGGTAACATTCATGTATCAGTTAATAAATTGATCTTTTCCAAGGTGAGTCAGGTATGTACTAAGGGAAACTAACAAAAACAAAAAATGGTAATGTAACAACTCCTCACAGATAAATAATTCTGATGGTCTAGTAAACACTCTAGTGGGAGAGAAAGTAGATCTCTGTGCAAGAAAACATCTCAATTCTGCAAACACTCCCAAGGGTGGGTTAGTAGGACAAGACTTCTGTGCTAGACTCAGAAGTTTGGCTCAACCACTACTTTCTACTCCGTCTTTGGCTCAACCACTGCTTTCTATCATGAAGTGTTTACTTTCGTAGGTGATCATCAAGTTTCCTAGAAAGATGGTTCAGACTTTTTTTCAGATTAAAAAACACTGCAGTTTACAAAGCTACATAGTATGTTATTGAAGACAAGGGCCCACATAGAATATTAGTTGAATTTTAGAATTCTTTACAACAATTCGTATGAACTAGCAAAAAGTAGATATCCGCAAAATACCCAGTATATATTTTTTAATTGATTAATAAAATATGTTTAGAGATCAACTTTTGCCATCTGTGTTTCCAGGCCATACTGATTTTAGCTGAAGGCATATATGAGTAGGTTCAGAGATTCCTTAGCAGATTCCTTTGCAGAGCCAAAAGGTGTTTTGAAATGATCATAATAATGTAAGAAGTACTGGTTTCTTTACCTAAACTTGCTCAGATCACACATATGTTTTCACATTTTCTTTTATTTTTACATTTTAAGTGAGAAATATCTTGCAATAAATCTGTTCTTGTAGATGTGACCTTTGTTCATATTCCAACTTTGTGTACTTTTTCTGTTTAAATGACACATTATTTCACACTAGTCAGCAGGACAAAAGGGAACTAAAAAAGGGCAAAATAAAATAAGTCAATGACATGATTTATAAGTGAATACAGTCTGCATTAATTCTGCTGTAAGTGTGTACCATACAGAGTTAGCATGTTTAAGTTTCTCTATAAAGCCATTGGAAGGTAATCATTTTATTTAGCAAAAGCACTATTGAAGAAAGACTTCGTGTAATGTCCTTTATCCAAACTTAACGTTCACTTTTATTTGGTTTTTAAAGTTTGTTTCCATGGCATATGACAGAGGAAGTGCTTTCTGTGAAGACCAACTTTAAATTCTTATAAAATATCATTGATTAAATTTTCTTAAAGTAAATGTTAGACTTTATCTGGAGTCTTGACTGAAAATGTTCAACACACATATTTTATCCTTTAGCATTTGGATATTGCATTTCCCTGTTCTCTTGAGTGCTAAAACAAATTGGATATAATATAATTTCAAAGTGCAAAAAACAAACCACAGAAAGTTACTCTCTACATTCTTGATAGATAATCATTTAGCATTGTTTGAGCACAGGCTTTTGGTTTCTGAGTTAAAAAAAAAATTTTAAAGGGAAATCTTTTCCAAAATGTTTACATATGAAATGTGAGATAATATTGATAGCCAATTTTAAAAAGAAAAAATCCGTTTATATATGTTGTTTTATATGTGATGATTTCAGTATATCAAAATAGGATATTAATATATATTAGTTCGCTAAAAATAATCTGCATAAAATTCTGAGGACCTTGTGTTACCACATAATTTTCTTCTCACTTTTATTATTTATTTATCATTGCAGATTAAAAAAATCAACAGAAATTTTCCTGTAAACCAGCAGGTAAGATCAAAGCATACTTGAAAAGCTAAATAATATATTTCTTCAATTTGATCTATTATAGAAGATAATGTTATCTGATTTCTAAACAGAAATAATTGGTACAGTCATTTACTATCTTTAGTGAGAAATATACATTTCAGCTATCTCTTTCATATTATATAATATGTAGGTTCCTCTACTTATATTAAAAATTACTTTAAAAATGTGTATCTAAGTCAAAAATTATTGTTTATACAAAATAATGATATTTATATGAATACATTGTTGAAGAACTTACAGTTTTATTTACATATGATAGTTTTAGTATATCTTAACTTTTGGGAGACATACTTTTAATTTATCTCAAAATTCAAACGGATTTTTCACAATTTGCTGACAGTATTTCAAATGAGTCTAAGTCAATGCATAGAACAAAAATAATTTTGATTATTCAGCTCTATAAACTTCTTACTCTTGATATCAACTTTGATTAGAAACCATTGATCAAATCTAAATATCTATGATAGCTATTTATAAATGATACATAAATTACCTATTAATTTTAATGATAAAAATGTTTAAATGCTCTTCAACATAAAAAATGTAAGATCTTTTTCTTATCTAAACCTCAGTTCCCTTATCTGTTACATTTGTATAAGGGTGACTATCCTGTAAGTTTATTTTCAGGATTAAATAATAGCACATGTAAAGTTCTCAATCTATGCTATTATTATCATCAAAGTTTCCAAATGTTTACACTTATTCTTTGGAATACAGAATTTATGTTTTATAGAAATTGTATCATTAATGATGCTGCTAGCCCAGATCAGCTTCCAAAGCCATGTGTAACTAGAACACTGGAGAGAACCGCTTTGGAGAGTTCATTGTGTCTACAATGCTCTGGTCTAGTCATTTTCAGCTCCAGAAGTCCCCTCCCTCCTACCTTAAGTCCCTCAGTCCTGAGTCAAGTTGATATTTTGGATAAATGCAGAGGTTGGAGAGGTGTACATGTCTTGCCACATGCTGCAGCAAGCTGTAGTTGTTTCTAAGTCCCTTACTTACAGTGTGGAAACCAGAGTTGTCACCAGCAGACTCTGCTTACTTGCTCTGTGATGACACCTGGGATGGTCTCTTTGTTGCTCCCACGCTTTCCCAGGTGATTCTGATATGGGTGTCATCTTGAGAACTGCAGACAGTTATAGTTAAAGATAGGTGTCATCTCAGAGCTACAGTTTAATGCTTTTATAGGGTTCCAGTAGAGGGAAAATGTCATTAATAAGAAATTACTCAGATAGAAGAAAGCATCAGCTATGGGGGAAGATTATAATGTCCATCGATACACAAGGCTGTTTTCTAGTCAGATCTATAAAAATGGAAATCTACTGTTTTGTAAATTCTTCTCCAAAATAAAAAAAATGGTGATTTTTTTTTTTTAATTTAAGAATGACTCTAGACCTGTGTCATCACCCTCTCATGCCTTTTCTAACCTCAACATGGGAGATATTAATATTGGTGTAATATATTACTACAGTGGTCATTCCCCTGATAGCCCCAAAGCTATTCTGTAATCATAATGACAATTACAGCTAACACTTCTCACGCAGTCAGCCTGCTGACTGGGACCACTTCTTGCCACCTTTGCTTATATCCAGGTTTAGAATAATATTAAGTAAAATAAATGAGAATTTGAATAAATCACACATAGAACAGGTAATAAAAAAATTTAATATTCTAACACTATAATATTCTGACACATACTCATATGTAAACATAGATGTTCATTATTATTCATCATTTTTATTTGCTAGCATGCTAATATTTTTCATTATATAATTATTTCAAATCTGAAATTATGTAATTCAAAACTATTTCAGATTTTATTTCAACTATATTGGCAGCTCACAGTTTTGAAAATCATAACAAATTCTTCCCAGCATTTAAGAAACCTGAAAATAATAGTTTTTTTTTCATTACTACTTTCCATTGTATACATGAAGAATTTTAAGAAATAGGATTAATTTATAGTTAAATATTTATATTATTGCATAATTAGGAAAACTCACCTCACAGTATGACAACAATGCGTTAAATGACTAGAATACATTTCCTACTTAGTAAAATCTGAGCCAGTTTAAGGAAATTGAAATTTAAAAGCACATATAATCCAATTTCTGATGATATATGCATTAAATAACTCCCTCGTATTCCCGGTGTTCTAGATATCAAAACAGAAATTAAAAGTCACCCAAGCTACAATGAACCAGAAGTTCTCTGCTCCCTGAGATCTGGTTTTCAATTTGTGCTACCCAGATGGTACCACTACCCTAACCAGATAAATTAAAATGAAAGCAAAACACAGGGAGAGAGCCACTGCAGTTCAACTGAGACAAGTGCTAAGATTAGTTCCACATGAACTCTGCCACACTCCAGAATGCATGATGCTTTCAAGAAAAACTCTCTGTCTGAAGAAGATGGTTGGGCCCAAAATTATAAACCATATGAGGAAATAAACCATTATAAAGAAATGCATAGAGACTAAAGAACTCTCCAAAATGTTTTTAATCATGATTTTTTTAAATAAAGAAATCAAAATTGTAAGACAAGAACAGGACATAGTGCTAAAATTTGTGGTTGTTAAAAGAACCAAACAGGAGTGCAAAACTGGGAAAAAAAAAAAAAAAAAAAAAAAAAAAAACCAACATTTAAAATTAATTAACCAACTAAATAATCTTAGTTATTGCCTCCACTTGAAATCACATTAGTGTATCTCCTACTTCACTTTTCGTGAGGAGTAAGTTTTCTATTTTTTCTATGCATCTGGGACACATTCATGTGTTTTTGTTTTATTAAGATTCTAATTTGGTTCTTTTTTTTTTTTTTTTTTTCTTTGAGACTGTCACCCAGGCTGGAGTGCAGTGGCACAATCTTGGCTCACTGCAACCTCTGCCTCCCTGGTTCAAGCGATTCTCCTGCCTCAGCCTCTTGAACAACTGGGATTGCAGGCGTGTACCACCACGCCCAGCTAATTTTTGTATTTTTAGTAGAAACAAGGTTTCACCCTGTTGGCCAGGCTGGTCTCAAACTCCCCACCTTAAGTGATCTGCCTGCCTTGGCCTCCCAAAGTGCTGGGATTACAGGCGTGAGCCACAGCAGCCAGCCTGAATTGGTTCATTTTTACAGTGAACACACTGAAATTCAATTTGCCCTGATAACTTTCTGTTGAAAAGATGAAAGGTGGGACAGTGGTCTTGCTGATGAACAAAATAGGGATAACTGAATGGATGCCAAGTAATGTTGTGATAATTCTGTCAATATATTAGAGGTAAAGGCATACAGGCCTAGAGAACCAGGCCTGCATCACACTACTGTATGTACCTAGACCATTAGGTCATAATTTATTACATGTGTCATTTTTACTCATTTTTAACTGAAGTTTCTTCATCCTGAAATAAATCTCATTCCTTCCACAAAAATAGCATTTTTCATTAACTTTTTTCTATAATTGTTTACCTGGGAGTAACATTATAAAGTATTAATTCATCATTAAAATATTAATATAATGAGCTTTATATTAAGCAGTATACAAAATAATATAATCAAATTGTTTACATTAGTTTAAATTAATAAAGTTATACTTATTTAAAACAACATGTTAGCTGTGGCAGCTATTCCTACAGATATATTTACATTTGACTAACCATAATAATTTGGACACATTATTATAGATGTGTACATACCATACATAGAATGCTGGCAGCTGGAATAGAAAGTGACTAAAGTCTCTAGTCGTGCTGGGGAGAATTAGAGAATTTCAGGACACTTTAAAAATCCATTTCTGGAGTGGCATCAGAAAAGAAAGAGGAGTAGGATAAATTTTGTCAGTTTTGCTTCTCTATAAAAGATTTGCTTCTCTATAAAAGCAACAGAAGAATGGCAAAAATAGAATCAACTTTTAACAAATATGGAAATTCACAAAGGCTCACTGAACCCAGGGAGCATTTATTCAAGAAAAACAGCTGAGTCTTGGTAAGAACAGCAAGCTTTGTGGCATTGTAACTGGATCTAGTTCCAACCCCTCCCTTTTCTCTGGCAATATGGTGGCTTACAGAATAATGATGTATAACCTGAAATTTATAATCTAATAAGTTGTATATTTAATTCATTCAATTTTAGCGTTATTGAAGATGTGTATTTGTGTGTATTTAGACAAAATATTCTATTAATGAAACTAACAATTGGTCTTTATTTTTGGGGGATGTCAAAATCTATTTTTTTCAATTTGAGAAAGAAATTATCCTAGTTCTTTATATATTCAATTTATAAATGTTAAAAACACATTATAGAGTCACACAATCTGGGGATAATGAGCCTATTGTTGTTCTGGTCCATTTCATAACACTTGCCGATAAAATATGCTGGCATTTTATGATCTAAAGGAGAATCCACTTCAAAAAAAGTAATGTGTCTTTATAAATTAACTCTTGGAAAATCAGCTAGCTCATAAATCATTTGATAATAAACATGATGGATATTTCACAGGAAAACGAGGTGTAAATGTTATTTTACAATTAAACTAAAAGAGCCCACACCTAATTATGTAAACAATTATGTATTACAGTTAAAATAAAATATACACTTTAGAAGACTTGGGAAAGGGTTATTCAAACAATAGAAAGTTGTATATGTGTGTGTGTTGAATTTATACACATATATACATGGGCTTCATTATTGAAAGAACTGTCTTAATTCTCATTGGCTTTCTTTTCTAAATATATAGATTTTCAAAATCCTGAGGGTGTGGGGAACAAATATGGCAAAATTGTCTTGTTTCGCATTTTCCAGATTGTTATATAAATGGAATCATACCGTATGTTGAATTTGTGTGGCTTCTTTCATACAGCATAATTATTTTTAACATTACTCATTCAACAGCGTGCAACAATCCATCATTCTTTTTAATGCTGAGTAGTATTTCATTGGTAGCTCTACCACCGTTTATATGTTGTGTATTAGCCCATTAA